GGAGAAGGCCAGAAGGCAGGGAGAGATAGAATAGGATTGATGGAGAGGAGAATTACAGGGAGGAAGTGGGAAACGTGTAATTACCTGGTGGGTACTGTAATCAGTGTTGTAAAGCAGAATCTGTATGAATGATTGAATGAGAACCGGCAGTTTGCTTTGTAAACTTTTACACAAATTGCTGAGAAAGTTCTGCTGAAAATGCAGTCCTTGGAAAGTCTGAACTGGTGAATGTGTTGCCAAGCTCTCTCCTTTTTAGCCATTGGTTTCCTTACGTGTGAAACACAAATATTATTTTCATACCGGCCTCAAGGATGTGCTCTGATCTATTTCCTCACTGTGGTATCAAGCAGTTCATTGTGCTTGTTGCCAGTTTTATTGTTTTGGAAAGGGTTGTATAAGAAGACGTGGATCATGCTGGAAGCTAATGCAGCCTGGCTGGAAGGGGAGCCCCGTATTATTGCCTGACTGATTGTCTAAAGCTTGGTATCGCTGCCATTTGGGATGCAAGAGACGGCGGCACTGTCCTGACCAGGGCATGACCCATCATGGCCTGAGGGTGGTCCTGGACACTGCTCTGTGGGTCCTGGCAGCAGTCTGCTCTAAGGCAGAAGGCACTCAAAGTGCACTGTCCTCAGCAATGGCCTTGAGTATATCAGACGTGATGAAGGGGACACAGAACTGGCCAGCACTTCCTTCTATTTTACATGGGTCTCTGTAAGTAAGAGCTGGCTTGATTGCGGCTAGTGCCTTGGGTACACTAGGGAATCAGAGCTCTGGTGGCACGTGGTAAGGAATTGTGCTGCCAACACCAAAGCAAGGAGTTTGAATCCACCAGCTGCTCTGCAGGGGAAGATATGGGCAATTTAGTGCCTCTGAAGACCTGCTGGGGGTCAGCTATGAGTCAGTTCCTACTCAACAGCACACAACAACAACATGGAATCAGAGGGGCACTGACTTCTTCCACAACCCTTGCTTGGTCATTGAGTCCCTCTGTCTGCAGCCAAGTGCTATTTAGAAAGCCTGGGAGAAAGTGGGCTGCTCAACCTCTCGGCTTTCTGATGAATCATTTAGATGGGAAACCCAAAGCCTGCTTGGGTAAAAAGATATGTGAACCCCAGATCAGGATCACAATCCTGTCCCAAGATATGGGGGGTTTTCTCCTCCGGATTAAGGGGTGTTTTAAAAACAGTTTCATTTTCATTCAGTCATTGTTTCCTAGCAACGAGAAGGCGGCATCAGTTTTTCCGATGTCTGTATGTGTCAGCCTGCATGCCTTCTGAGCAGGAAAAGAACCAAAGCCTTGGAATCTGTCTTCAGCTGGTAAGAGATTCTCAAATGGTGTTGGGGTGGGGATTGTTAAGAGCTGAACTCCTCCTAATAGCACATAGAGATGTGTGTCACACAGAGGAGGGCAGAGCCTGGGAGGGGACCTTCGTGGACAATGTACATGTTCTTCAGGGAACTTTAGAATATGGGGCTTCTCTCTTTGGGGGCCTGGCTTCTGTGAAACCACTAATGCCTGAGAGAATGGACAGCTTTCAAATAGTTTTTTTGTGTGTTTTCAGACAGGAGTTTGCTTTCTTATTTTTAGGAGTTTGTTTTCTTAAAGCATGTTTTTGTTGTTGTTGTTGTTGTGTGCTGTCGAGTCGGAACTGACCCATTGCTGATCCTCCAGTGCAGGGAAGAGATTGCCCATCCTTCTCCCAAGAAGCAGCTGATGGATTTGAACCATGTGCCCTCAGGATTACAGCACAGTTTCTTGCCATGAGGCCACCAAAGGTTCAAAGTGGGGTTGTTGTTAGGTGCCGCTGAGTAGGACTGGCAAAACAGAAATTCAAACTAAGAATCTGCAAATGACCTTTCTTCAAATACACTCAAAAAACATTGTCATCAAATTGGATCCGACTCACAGCCAACCTTCGCTCAGTAATGGAGGCCATAAATTGCATAGAGGAGATTGTCCGTCTTTCTTCCTCAGAGCAGTTGGTGGATTGGAACAGGCCATCTTTGAGTTGGAGGGCAATTCCTGACTGCCTAGGCAATTTCCCTATTTCAAGCAGGCATAGCTAATCCTTGAATTCTATGATTGGAAGGGATATCATCAACCAGTCAATATTTGTTTTACAGAAGAAACTCAAGGCTACAAATATGCATAAGGTGACACAGCTCCTTGGTGACCCCAGGCCTCACTGAGTTGTCTGATCCCAGTCTAGCAGGTGTGTGGAAGGACATGAGCATCATTTTAAGGTTTGTTGATATTGATTGTCTTCAAGTTGAGCACGACTCATAGCAAACCTATGAACAAAAGGCCTGACCAGTTCCTAAATAACATGCCTCCGGAAACTCTATGAACTTTGATAAATGTCGGTTTTTAATTTTAAGGTTTAGACTTTGGTATACCACGTGAAATGAAGACTAAGAGGAAACCTCACAACCAAGAGATACAGCTTCTATGATTTGTAAGTCTGAAATTCAAAGAGCTTCTGTAGAATCATAAAAGCAAGAATATGTTAAAGCAAGCATTCGATCTCTTGCTTTTTAGGCTTTCCTGTTCAGCGGGGAGTCTTTAAGTGGTGCAAATAGTGAACACCTGCTGGCTACAAACAGAAAGGTTGGCAGTTCAAGTTCACCTAGAGGTACCTTCAAAGCAAGTCCTAGTTACCCTTTTCCTAAAAATTAGCCATTGGAAACCCTGTGGCTGACATGAGGTCACCATGAGTCGGAGTTGCCGCAATGACAAAGACTAAGCTCTGGGAGCTCATTCCCTTGGTAAGGAATGCTAGCAGGACGAATGTTCTACCTAAAGAGTTTCTCCAAATTACTGAATTACAACTATTGAGTTTATATGGAATATTAATTATTCAAAGGAACTTATTTTAAAAGCATGTAAAAATATTCACATATCAGAATATTCAGATCGTTGTAATACATTTGGGATAGGCTAAATAGATGTGGCAGTCTGTTTCTATAAAGATTTACAGCTTTGGAAACTGTGGAGAGGTTGAGTTTGTTCTACTCAGTCCCTACAAGTTGGAATAGACTGAACCACAGTGGATTTGGGTTTAGTTTTATGTATTGGACTTTCTAGTTGCAAAGTGTTAGACTGAAACAGGTCCATGATGTTGTTAATTTGGTTGTGTTGGAGGCCTTTAAAATGATTCTGACCCATAGCTAACCTGTATGGCTGAGCAGAATTGGTACATAGGTCTTCCTAGTCTATCATCTTTATAGGAACACACTATAAATCTGTTTTCCCTGGAGCCAGGGTCTGGGGTCAAGCTGTGAATCTGTAGGTTAGCACCTGAGCACCACTGTTTTAGAGATGACATTAGAGATTGTGCAGAAGGGCTTAGAGGCTGTCCACAGGGGGAGAGTGGACAATCTCAGAGTCTAGCTTTCCTGTGGGCAGTGCCTGTCTTCTCTGAGTGATACTATCGCCTCTCTGGTATGTAGTATCCTCTTCTGATTGATACTCCATCGGGAGCATTGTACTGCCTTCATAGTTAATCCGTTCACCATGGAATGCTCCTACTTTCTCCCTCAGTGTATCTTATCCACCCACTGCCATGTCCAGAAACCTGCAGCAGATGAACTAGCAGGAAGAATGTCCCTGAAGAATCCAGCTCACCTTTTGAAGAAGTCCATTTCGGTCCACGACATGCTGTTTCATCCTTGCTCATTTCTGCAGAACTGTATGTGAAGCTTAGTGTTTATGAGCTACAATTAAAAAAAAATTCTCGGTCTTTCCCCCATCATCTTTAGTTGTTGTTGTTGTTAGTATGTACCATAGAGGCAGAACTGAATTATATCAGATGCTCCAGTGGATTTTGGGAGGCTGTAAATCATGCAAGATTTTGGCTGTCTTTCTCCTGAGGAGCAGTTGGTGTGTTTGAACCACTCACCTTTGTACTGACAACACAACTCGTCACCATTAAGCCACCAGAGATCCTTTTGGGGTAAGGATTTTTTAAATAGATAAAGACAACTTCAAAAGTATAAAGAATAACTTAATGAGCATTCATGGACTGATTTTCTGAATGAGCAAATGTTAACATTTTTGTTCAAATCTGTTGTAAGGAATGATAATGAATTAATTGATATTCCATTTATACACCTTTCTAGACATCCACTTCAAGAGTAATGTTTTTTCTTTTTTTGTAGATTCCCTTTTGTGCTTTTAAGACTTGGTGGTATCATTAAAAAAAAAAGACTTCGTGGTATCATGTTAAATATTCAGTTGCTAACCAAAAGATTGACAGTTCAAACCCTCAATTATTGCTTGGGAGAAAGATAAGCAGTGTCCTCTGTTAAGATTTACGGCCTCAGAAGTCCAATGGAGCATCCTCAAGAGTCAGAATTGCATGACAGTTGGATGGGTTTTGTGATTTGGGGGGGTCTAATTTGAACCCATTGCCTGAACTTAAATTTCTGGTTCAGTGTTGAGGTTGGGGTTGCAGGACACAGTCTTCTTTTTGCCTTGGCTGAATGGTCTTTCAAGGACTTCCAGGCTATAGGAAATGATGGATGGATTCTACAGAAAGTTCTGCTATGAGCTGTTGCACGAGGGTAGATGCGATGGGAGTCACTACTGTGTGTGCAGAGGATCAGATCACAAGCTGTCTGTGTCTAGATGTCTCTGACCAGTCTCACCAACTACCCTGTTAGCTGCTGCCTATCTTACTTGTTTATTGCAAAGGTAAGTAAACGATATATTTCAGGAACCTGGAAGGAATAAAAGATGTCAGGTAATCACTAGGTATGGTACTTTAAGCTCCAGACAACCTTCTGACCTGGAACCTGCTGGACAAAAGGTCCTGAACCCTGTGTACTCTCGGATCCCTTCCAGAGCTGACGACTCCATGACTGGTATTTGCGATGATAACATCCCTAACTGGAATTCTCTCTGATTTGCTGCTGTGCCTCCTGGACTCAGAGAGGCTTAACAGTATCAGGTGCAGTGTAAACTGCAAACACCTGCTTAGCTGGGTAAGCCTTTCATCATGGAAAGGAGACTCCTAAAGAAGGAAATGAAGAAAATCCTGTAAGTGCCATCAAGCATAGCTTTTATCTGTGCCACTCGGCGTTTGGTGGGTTGCATGTCACAGATGGTCTGGGCATAGCAGTGGGGGAGACATTTAAGGAAGAATCTATACCTACGCTCTAGGAGAATCCAGATGGCCTGGGGTCTATCTCCTGTCCAGAGGCCTTATCTGTGATGCCAGGCAGGTTTCTGAATCCCTTGGGAGGATGCTTCTGCCAGCTGTGTGCGGGTCGGAGGCATCCCTTGGCTGAGTCTGTGAGCTGAGCCTGAACTCTGGTCAGCCTCTACTCAGCAGCACCTAATGTGCAAAGGGGCTGACCTTGCTCAAGAAAGATGTTTTGAAAATAAGCTCAAGGGGCCTAATTCTAAACTGCAGCCTCCACTTTTTAAATTATCTGCCTCTTCCATTAATAATTGCTCTCCCTTGTCATCTGAGTTTTTTTAATTTGTTTTTTAAATACACACAGAAAATAAATTCACCTAGGGGGGGAAATTTTTTTTTTTCTGGTTGTGTCTTTTGTGTGACTTGGTACTCAGCTGAAAAGCTGGTGAAAATCACAAACCACGTATGAAAACAAAAGGAGGGGATCATTGGTTACATGTATAATAAATATATGCATAACAGCAGTACAATTAGCGATTCGAAGTCCTCATCATAGTCTCTACCAAATGTGTTTTCTCTATGCTGGAAGAATTCTCTTTTAATAAGTCCTTAAGAGTTTCTGCAATCAACTACATGTGAGCTCATTTGCATTTACATGTTTAGAGACAATATATATAATGGGACAAACCATAATCAAGAATGCCTGCTCCTCTACCAATCACATCCAAATAATTACATCTCCAATTTTATCATTTTATAATCTTATAATTAAATAATACACCTCAATTTTATAATTACTATTAAAAAATCCAAAGAATACATTTAGATTAATTTAAAGAAAACATCTTGGATTTTCAAGGCAATAATTCAAGAATTTTTAACAATCTAGAAACGGGAAATGACTCAGAAGGAGACCTTTTAGGAGTCAGGAAATAGCGCACTCTTACATGCAGACACACAGCCAACACACACGCACAGTGAATAGACCAACATGCCCGCATATGGTAAATATGTTGAGAGCCAGAACTGGCTTTAAGAAAAACTGATATTTGCTGAGATCAACCAGAGACCTCAGGGTTCTTTTCCAGCCCCTCCCCCATTAGCACCTGGGGTGATATCTCTTTCTACTCTCCCAATCCACATTCTTCCTACCATTATTACAAGTCGCTGGTAGGCAAGGACCTGAAGGGTTCACTGAAGTACAATTCCAGCACATTGTTACGCCTAACTTCTCTGCAGGGCATTTGCATTCTAGTGGGGAATGTCTTGGGAGGAAATCCCCTCTCCATTTATGGAATATTAGGTACAGAGATATGTCAACTTTGGATATTCTACCTGAGTTTAACATGGGCAGCAAAAGAATACATCTTTTTCAAATATGTATCTCAATCTTTGGCGTTTGGTAAAAATCTTGTATGGGAATTTGGCATTCACTTTGCCACTTCCTAAATTCTATATCAATCTATGTGAATAGAATTTTTAGATAAAGGTGATTTCAGCGAATTGTGTCTAGACATTTTTCAACCTATGTTGTAGAATGACTATTTAAATGAAAACTCAATACTACCTCAGACCCCAGAGCCGTCAGGACCTCTGTGTGTTGGCAGAGGAGGGAGGGCTGGGGAAGAGAGCCTCTTTGTGCAGACTGAGCCCCCGTGTCACTCCCTCTAGTTCAACGCCACTCTCTTGCTTTTAAGGGGAGATTATATTGGCATCAGACTTCGGGAAAATGAATTTGACCCCAAAGGAAGAAGGCAGCTCACCTTTCTAGATGATATGGTAAACAGAGGCATGTTGACGCAAGTAACACTTGTATTATATGTGTGTCGAGGGAAAGAACAGGGTCTAATTTACTCTATCAGAAAATAGGCTAATTTTTACAAAATAACGCTCTTTATTTTTCGAAGCCACTTCAGAAATGTGGAGAGTTTTCGTATACTCTCTCTCTCCTCTGCACAATTCCTCCCATTAACATCTTACTTTCCTGTGGTACAATCGCTACAATTGATGAACTGATATTGATGCACAATAGCATTTACTAACGCCCATAGTGTACATTTGGCTTCTCTCTGTGTGCTGTGTGGTCCTATGCATTTTAAGAAATGCATAATGTCCTGAGTCCACCGTTATAAGCACCATGCAGAACCCTTTCACTGCCCTCCGGATGCCCTGTGCTTCACTTGCTCATCCCTCCGCCCCTCCCCTTGAGTCCCTGACAACCACTGATTGTTGCTATGAGTTTGGCTCACCCAGAAGGTCATCTCATGCAGTCAAAAGCTTTATCAGACAGCTTTAAACAGAGCTAACCCTGATCCCCCAAATGCCCTCTTCATACGCACGCTGCTCATGATACAGTCCACATGGCCATTTAAGACTATTAAATGGAAAGTAAAAAGAGAATGAGAAGGTAAAATCTGTGAATGTTGTTTTGGAAAAGAATAACAAAAAAAATAAAATTAATGCAAAGCTAAACATTGCATGAGAAGCAAGTCTATTGTCACCGAGTTGATTCCATCTCGCAGTGAATCTGTAAAAATGAAGTTGAATTCTTTTATAGCGTTTCCAAGACCCTTCAAAAAGCAGATTTTCACATTTCCCCTCCTTGGAGCATATGGTGAGTTCAAATTAGTGACGATCTGGTTGACAACCAAGCACTTTAACCACTGTGCGACCATGACCCTTTGCTGTTGAATAATTGCTGCTGTTGCTGGTTCGTAAACAACCCAATAGAATAGGGAGGAACCGATCCATACAGCGAACCCAGGGCTGTACATCTTCGTAGAAGCAGACTGCCTCATTCTCCCCTGTAGAAAGCGGCTAAAAACTCAGCTCACTACTGTTCAACTGATTCCAACTCCTAGAGACCCTGTGCGGGGTTTCCGAGGCTGTCAGTCTGAATGAGAGGAGACAACCTAGCTTTCTCTCGCAGAACGACTGGTGGGTTCTAACTGCCAGACTTGCGGTCTTTAGTTAGCCTCACATCAGGCTACAGACTGCACCTCCAGAGAGAGCTGGGGGTTCAAACCACTGACCTGCTGGTTGGCAGTTGATGGATTCAACCACTGCACCACTAGGATGCCTTAAATACTTTATGCATGATGATAATTTCTTTTACACATGTAGCTCTCAAATATAATGTTGTTGTTGTTTTTATTGTGTACTGTAGAGTTGAAACCGGCCCATAGCTGACCCTCAGCAGGTTTTCAGAGGCAGTTAATTGTACATGTAGTTCTCAAATGTAATACTTTCCTTTTTTATAATGTTTTAATATTTTCTTTATAATTTACATTACTGTGGAAAATTCAAAGCAGCAAATAATCCTAAGATCTTTTGTGTATTATTTATTTTGAACCCCAGATACATATTGTTAAAAGAACTACTGTCACATGAATTAAGACCGAAAACTGTGTACAGTTGTAATTAAAAAACAATTATTAAATCTTTCACTTTCCCAAAACATTTGTTTACTATCATGGAAGAAAGGACTTGAGGACTTGTGTCTCTTTCTCTCAGGATTAGGATGCTAATGTTCAAGAAACCCTGACTGATTATTAAAATTCTTCCTGGAGCTGAAGAGCTTATCAAGCCGTGGGCTTCTGACTACTCTGCCTCTGTTAATAGCAAGTGGATAGCAGAGCTTCTAAAGCTGTCCGGAGGTCTTGCTATGACCAGTGGTGATGTGGAGGTCTGGGGTGGGGCCAGGGACTTGCAATTCTAATGAGACAATTCTAATAAGGTGATGCCGATGATGTTTGTACATCCAATCAGCAATTCGGTTTTACCAATATGTCATGATCCATTTAGAGAATGTTTCTTGGTGGATTTTTGTTTGTTTGTTTTGGTTCATTTTCCAGTTTGGCTCAATTACCAGAAGAATTAGAAAGTGTTAGGGTTCAAGTAATTTCTGATTTCCCACTACCATCGAGACCAGTCTGAATAGGATTACAGAGAATCAGAAGTCATCTTAAAACAAAAACCAAACAAAACCAATCTTTTCCTTTCTGGAGATGAAAGTGGGGGAAGAAGAAATATTTTAATAGATAAATGGTGAATATGTTTATTAAACAAGAACTCACACATGAACTGGGAATAGATGGTCACTATGTTGAGAACAAGGGGCCCTGGTAGCGCAGTGGTTATGTGCTTGGTAGGGAACATAAAGGTTAATTGTTTGAACCCCCTAGCCACTCCATGAGGGAATGAGGTGGTGATTTGCTCCTGTTAAGATGGCCAGCCCTGGAAATCCCGGGAGGTAGTTTCCCTCTGCCTTATAGGGCTTGTGGTTGGAATACACCAGCTGCTTTAGGGGAGAAGGATGGGCAGTCTCCTTCTGTGTGATTAACAACCTCTGAAAACCCACTGCAGGATCAGCCACTGGTCGGTTCCGGTATTATTTATGATAAAAAACTTAATCCTAGCATAATATGTGATAAATATATTATAAATGCCTTAAATATTAATATTCCTTCGTATATATGAACACACTGTCTTTGTAGGGAGCTCTGCTCATCTCTCTGGTGATTTTAATCCATCCGTGTCTCCTAGAGAAAGCTGAGGAATCTCCTCCCTTACGTTTAATTTACAGCCTCCGGCTACAAAACCATAGTTTCTTATACTTGCTCTCAGAAAACCAAGCTCAAACTCATTCCTGTCATGTCTAAACGGACTCAGCTGACCTGCATCAGGATTTCAAGGCTGTAAGCTACCGAGAAAAGGTTCGCATCCAGCAACTAGAAACTATCGCATCAGATACATTTTCTCCTTCTTCTCTTGTGGAGCCACGAGTTGTTTTCAACTGCCAGAGTGGCTTAACCTTTGCGTTAGCAGCTCTCTCCTGGTGGGCCATGGCCACCAGTACCCCTTAAACCTACTCTAGTGGGAGACAGGAATGCAGGAAGATCCCTAGATGTTTCTGGTCGAGCATTAGATCATCAAACATAGTGGAAATTCCTTTCCATTCTTGACACAAAGAAGGAGGAGCGCAGGGTCAGCCTCGATGTTGTTGTGGGGGCAGGGACCGCTCAGCCAAGCATGAGTGTGTTGGTTCGCACCCTGTCTTTTGCTTTCAGGCTCACTATGACTTGGCCATCAGTGTTGCTTTGCATTGGCTGGATCACTCGGAAGACTTAACATGGCTGGAGCAGGAGGAAGTGTAAGTTAACAAGCCATTCTTTCTTTTTATTTTTTTTTAAATTTAGGTTGTTTATTTTTCATTTCAATGAACATCTACAGAGATTTTGGGATTCCATTCATTCATTGTTGCACCCTTC